CCGTATCTACATCGTTATGTTTGCATGTCTGTATATGCGTATGCATGTATACACCCATATATATATATATATGTATGTATGTATGTATGTATGTATGTATGTATGTATGTATGTATGTATATACACATATATGCAACATATACATACATGCACACAGACATATATGTATCTATATATATATATATACACCTACGTATGCACATACATGTATGTGTATGTGTATGTGCATGTACACATAAACACACACGGCAAGCCGCTGGGCCAATCAGGACCTCCAGGACTCTAGGCTTCAGGGATCCAGTGTGTCGAGTGACATCAGAGACAGCTCTTTCGTTACAGAACCCGCTCGGACAAAGAGCTCCGGACATCAAACCCTACAATAACAATAGCAATAACAATACTGATAACAATAACAATAATAAGGTTAACCAAAACAGTACTATAGTTAGTAACAATACCAATACTCATAACAACCCAAGACCTCTGGTTGACGGGCTGCAGGATATACAGAGGGACAGCAGGACAGAAAAGGTGCTGTGGCTTTTATGATCGATCTGGGGAGTTCAAAACCTTCATTGGTGTGGGCGTGGGGTTTCCATGTAAAGCCCCATACAAACTGAAAGATGAGGCCCTGAGAAAAGAGGGTTTTGCATTTCCTTCTACATAAGTAGAACGCGTTGAGATGGAGCCCAGTCGCCATGTGCTCAGCAGTCGCAATGGACAAGTACAGCTTGTGGCAGTCCTCACGTTGCATTAGGCCGCTGTCGGCCTTCTCACAGAGCTGCGGCAGTGTAGATGGGCTGACCAGCTCGTGCGGCAGCAGCTTGAAAATCTCCAGGGCGCCCTGGCTAACATTGCCTTGGCTCTCTCGAACTCGAAGACAGGATCTCAAGTTTAAGCTGGCTCGAAGAAACAGGTTCTAGGTCGCGAGGAACTGAGACGTCCCACAAATGCCGACGAGAACCTTCAATCAAACACTAGTAAACCCCAAACCCCGAAACGGCAAGCCCTAAACCCTAAACCCGAAATCCCTATAAAGCCCTAAACAACACATGCAAAAGGATATAAGAAGCAGGGCCAGGTCTGATATCGGGACCTTACTAATCTAGAAAAACGTCTTGGGGTATATAAATAAATAAATATATATATATATATACATACCTACCTACCTACCTACCTACCTACCTACCTGCCTGCCTACCTACCTACCTGCATACATGCCTGCATGCATGCATACTGCATGCATACATACAGACACACGAGTATTTATTTGTTCATCCACTTACTTATCATATGGAGCCCTCAGGAATACTGTTACTAATTATTAGGGCTTCTGCGTCAGAAGGTTCCGGCTTGCCCAACATGAGTTGCATGATCGAGGAAGCTACTGCTTATAAACAAGAAGCAAGCTCCCCACAACCGGACCCCTAAAATGTACTATCCACAAATCTAAAACCTTCGAGTTTTACCCTAAAGCCCTGTAAACTCAAAACCTAAACCCTGGACAAGTGTCCCGTCCCGGTGAAGACGGCAGTGAAGGGGCACAGCGCCTTTGGCAAGCCGTGCTTTCGGATCGCCTTGGGGGGGGGGGGGGGGGGCACGAAACATCGAGGCTCAGAGAGTATTGGTATAGGGTCTCAGGGCTTATGGGCATCAGGATTTAAAGCATGGGTGTGAATTTCACGCGCATAGGCTTCACAATCTGGGGGAATAGAGCTCAGAGTATGTAGGGTATAGAGCTATATTGTTAAGTTAAGGGTATATCATGCAGGGCCCTTAACAATTAGAATCAATTAGAATAGGGTGAACGCCCCCCCATAATTCTATAGGTAACTATGAAGGCCCCTATATTAGGCTTCAGGGTCCAGTTCTCAGCAGATATAATATAGGGTTTGAAGCACCGCCGAGTCCCAACAGATTTCCAGAATAGACACAGAAACCACCGTTCGTCAATGCTAGTACCGTTCGAGGAATGATCGAGTTCAGGGTCTTTAGGGCTCAATGGCAAGCAAAAAGCAGGCATTCTGGAAACAGACAGAAGAACCCACTAATTAAATCCCAAACCCAAGCCCCTAAACCCCCAAACCCCAAAGCCCTCAACCCCTCTAAACCGTTAAAAACATGTACCCTAAACACTAAGTCTTTGCCTATTGGGCCCACAGCGCCTCACCCGCCAGGGAAACAGCGCGTTTCGCCTCCTCGAGCGTGGGGTACCTGGCGAGAAGTGAGTAGAGGGCTCCCTAGAGGGGTTCAGGGTTTAGGGTTTAGGAGGTTCCTGTAAGCGTTCTGCAACGGCTTTGTAGGAACCAGGGTTGCAAATAAGGTAACGTATAGTCATAACATGTTATAGCCTCAAGTAGAACATGGTTTCGAGGTCTCTCGGAGTTAGAGAAGTTAAGGCCCCGGGTTGATAGGCTTGGGCATTCGGAATTAGGGCTCTGGGTTCAGGCTCTAGGGCTGTGCTCTGCTCCCCAATAAAAAACACGAGCATGAGCCCTCAAGCGCTGAACTCGCAGAGTCGTTGGGGGCTTCCACCCAGAAGACTCTAATAAGGAGTGCTCTGAGGGTCCTTGTTCATTCGCTCTTGGCACCCACACAAGTAAAAGGCCCTAAAAGTCCTGTCAAAAGGAATACTTGGACCCCAAACCCTAAACCCTAAATCCTAAACCCTAAACCCTTGGAGGTCAAGAACCAGGCGGCATGAAGGCTGATCCGATGTGGAGGAGTGGCGTGCTGTAGCCAAGAGAACTCAGCTGGTTTAGGGTTTAGGTTTTAGGGTTTAGGGTGGGGCTGGAATGTAAGGGCCTCAATCGTTAGAATGAGGCTTTGTGATGCTTGGGGCGTGTTTTAATATGTCGTCCTTATATAGTACTATTTCTGGTGGAAGTAGGTCCCCAATAACATGATAAGACCTTCAGGGTAAGTACTATATAGGACCCGTCTATTGGGACCCGCGTAAGGTCTGTAAAAGAAAGGTCTTACGATGTCAGGCAGGGCAGCAAAGGGAATGTCTTTGGCTCCGTTCAGGGTTCCTGGCCCTTTGCTCCATTCCTTGGTCCACACCTACAACTCTCCTCCATGACCCACCGTTCTTGATGTACGCTGCTACTGCTGCAATTTCTACTGCTGATTTGTTTCGACCACGGCTCCTGCGATGAACACTATCATTCGGGCACTTATTATTATGCAGTGCTGGCCCTTGAACCTAAGCCGCAGATCAACCGGACACTTGCCAGCATTCCTCAGACCTGGAACAAAAGAAACTCTGCAATGGAACGGGGCTTCAGACTATTCCGCTTCGGGTCTTGCACCGGCATTTCTAAAACTCCCACCACACGATCCCCAGTGCATCTGCGAGCGTAAAACGACCTGCGTCTCTTCCAACCACTCAACCATCCATGAGCGAGTCTGCATAAGGAAAAGCTATGAAACCCTGTTGACGATCAAACAGGACTCAGATCATGACCATTATGATAAAGAAAAACAGTCTGGTTGTGGCTGACCAGAAAACCGCTTAGGTCGGAGACTGGCAAGACCAGCCCCTCAATACCTTTGCAAATCTTTCCCCCATCTGACAGCTCCACTTCAAAACAGAGAATCCCGGCAGGTCTAATTACAGTACCCAAACCCTGGCCCTGAACCCTGAACCCGAAAGCAAACCCTGACCCCTAAGAGCTGACCAGCCGGATCATTGAAGCAATCGCACTGCAAAACAAACCTTCACAACCAGCAGCTGTCATCTGTGGCAGCTCTATAAACAACAACCCTAAACCCAAACCGTAAACCCTAAGCGCTAAACCTTAAACAACGACGCTGCGGTCCTCTCCTTTCGCATAACTGCGGCCAAGGAAGCAGAAACCTCTCGCCGAGTCCTCGCAGAAAGTCTATGGCCTCAGATGTCTACTGAGCTTGCCATTCAGCGGAAAAGAAATCAAGAACTCCAAGAAGCATCTGAACAACAACAAAAGCAGGGTTGGGATGTCCCATCATCCCTGTCTAAGTAAGCCAACAAAGCAACCAAGGCTTTATGGTGGCTGCAGTTTTTGGCTCTTGAAACAAGGAATCTGAGCCTACATTTGTCGTTGAGTCCGTCTCTCTTGAGACACAAAAAGAGGAGCCCTTCACCTTCACCTGGGTTTATAGGGCTTCGTGTTTTAGGAAACCCCATGCCATACGCAGAACCCCTGGTGGAACTGAGGGAGTTCTTAAGTGGTAGAATCCTCCAAAGAACCTTCATAGAACCCTTGTGCTGCCCTTGTTGGATCCGTCAACAAATAGAAAGGCTCCCTAAGAGCCCTAAATCCCTAAACCAATGAAACCTAAACCACTCAACCCTGTTAACCCTAAACCGGGCCGAGTCGCTCCGGCGTAGCCGGCAAAGGCGCCAAACGCCACGAGGCGAGGCCCTCCTCGCGTGCCGGTGTTGGTGATGCATTCCTCGGCGTTTTTTCATGTCATGTATTGAATAAGGTTCCCTGAAGGTCCTTTCAAGCGGCCGATAAGGATTACTCAGGGTTCGACCAGGGCTCTATGCTATAGTGGCCGGCTTTAGGGGGTATAACAGAGTTTGACGGACACTAAGGAATAATTAGTGTTGGGAATCATTCATGCGTCTACGTTACTAGCCCCCTTCCAAGCTCGCGTCGCTGTAGTGAGGCCCAAAGCCCCGGATTCCGCGGACCCTTGACCTCTGGAAGGGCCCTCAGTTCCATGCTAAACCCTAAACCCTAAACCCTAAAGCTCAGCCGAAGCTGCGTAGTCGAGCAAGCGGACCTTCTTCTGCAAGGCAGCATCCAAGAGAGGCATCCCAGAAGGCTGGGCCTTGATGGTGTGGGAAAAGAAACACCAAGTCCTCCCTGGCAAAAGGAGCTCGGGTGGCACCTGCTTTTTGGCCCCCATTGTGGGATTGTAGGGTTTGTGCGGTGTAGGGCATGTGTTTAGGGCTTAAGTCTTTCTTGGGAGTGGGCGGGTGCAAGGTCTTGAGTCTCGCGTCTCCTCTTTGACGGCCAAGATGGTGGAGCACTCTGAAAGGTCCTCTTTGATCTCGGCCCCTGCTTCGAGGTACTCAACGTCGGTGAAGACACGCCGGGTGCAAGGCTGGACGACGACCTTGAGGCCCTGCTTCACCAGCTCGTCCACATGTCGAGGCGCTAGCGGAGCCCGTCGCTCCCACTTGTTCTTGTCTTCCCTTCGAAGCCCGATGACTGACGCCTTGCCTCGGCTCAGACGGCAAGCACTCTAGGACACCGAAAAGTCGATCCCAAGTTCAAGGGGACCGTCGTCCCCTCTCGCTAATCCCAGAACTTGTCGAAGCTTCATAAAGTGAGGGACCCTGAAACAAGCCCTTGTATAGAATCCTTACTGTCATACGCAGCCCGGGGAAAGGAAAACCTCAGTCCTCAACTCTCCCCCCCGACCGTCCCCCGACACCCTAAATAAAACCCTAAACCCGAAAACCCTAGGCCCTAAACCCCAAAGCCCCAAACCCCTAAACCCTAAAACCCTAAACCCTTGTTGCCCCTGGGCCACCGCCTGTTTGGGCGACCCGCTTGCCCACCGGCGTATGCGCCCGCACGGAGCTTTCGCCAAGGGAAGACCACGGCCGCTTGCCATGGGCCCTTGCCCAGGGCTCCATGAGCCTCCTGAGCGGCTTCTTTTGAGGGGGCTTAGGGTTTAGGATTTGGGTTTAGGGCTTCGGGTTTAGGGCTTTAGGATTTGGGTTTAGGGCTTAGGGTTTAGGGCTTTAGGATTTAGGTTTAGGGCTTAGGGTTTGGGGCTTTAGGATTTGGGTTTAGGGCTCAGGGTTTAGGGCTTTAGGATTTGGGTTTAGGGTTTAGGGTGACCGTAAGGAACAGCTTTGCTAATTACCCCGACCCCTACATTCCCAGTGCATGGAAAACTCCGAACGGCTAGCACCCAGGACCCGGATCCAAACCCAACAATATCTGGGATGTGCAAGTGCGGTCGCTTTGAAGGGTTCTGAGGGTTTAAGGGGCTCACTCCGCAGACTGCACCCCCTCTAAAACATCTGAGCCAGCGGCAAAACCTAAGAGGCCACCCTCCCAACCTTTCTATGGGGTTATCGCTTTTGGGCAGGCACCTTATCGTTCTGCAACATTTCCAACTATCTATCTACAAGCGCTCAATTCGACGTATGAGCGACTGTCTAAACTTCGTTCATCTCTACAACTTTAGTACTGGAAATGCCTCGTTTTGGCTCCTGGCTGGATTGTGCTGGGTTGTAGTACAACTTTAGTACTGCAAATGCCTCGCTTGGGGTCCTGGCTGGATTGTGCTGGGTTGTAGTACAACTTTAGTACTGGAAATGCCTGGTTTGGGGTCCTGGCTGGAAATGCCTGGTTTGGGGTCCTGGCTGGACTGTGCTGGGTTGTAGTACAACTTTAGTACTGGAAATGCCTGGTTTGGGGTCCTGGCTGGATTGTGCTGGGTTGTAGTACAACTTTAGTACTGGAAATGCCTCGTTTGGGGTCCTGGCTGGATTGCGCTGGGTTGTAGTACAACTTTAGTACTGGAAATGCCTGGTTTGGGGTCCTGGCTGGATTGTGCTGGGTTGTAGTACAACTTTAGTACTGGAAATGCCTCGGTTCCGGGTCCTGGCTGGATTGTGCTTGGTTGTAGTACATAGTACTGGAAATGTCTGTTGGACCTGCCTGGCCCTG